TGGCTGACCGAGTGCGACGAGGCACTGCCGTTAGATGCGCGAGAGATACTGGAAAAGGAGCGGCTCGAAAGGTCTGACATCCGGCTCTAGCACGTGCTAGGACTCAAGGTTCACGGGAACAGATACGCAAAGCAGGTGCAGGCAACGAGGCGTATGAAGCCGAATCCGCTCGCAGGTCAAACGCAGCGGGTGTTTTCACTGACTGGCTACAGCACTGGTGACTGGCTCACTGCGATCCCCATTGCTTCCACACGGCGGATAGGGCGAGTGCACTTCGCCAACGCTGTGCGCTTCCGACTCGGCCTGCCGTTTTCCACTCCCAAGAATTGTGACTGCGCGGACCACACGACTATCACTGACCCTCGCCTCCTGAACCACATGCTCCGCTGCGGTACGGGCAAGCACTGCACGACACACACAACGAGCTGCAGGATGCCTGCGTTAGCATGGCGCAGGACGCGGGGTTTATAGTGCACAAGGAGTCGGCCGCCTACTGCCCTATTGAGGAGCAAACGGCCGACTTCACCATGACAGATAGAAGCAGTGGGGCAGTTTACATTTGTGACGTAACCATCACCAACCCTATCAGCACTAGGGACCCGGAAGCAAAAAAGGCAGGGGATGGGCGGCACGTGAACAAGCCGACAAGAAAATTAAGCATTACGCCAACCGCCCTGAGACGGTTGGCTTCTTCCCACTGGCAGTAGATGATGGAAAGCGAGCGAATCTCGAGAGCGTACAAGAGATGAAGTCCGCCGACTTTGACGGAACATTGCGTGCAGCTCACGTAAGCATAAACAATGAGCAAGTACGCGTTGTAAATAGCTTAGTCTCAAATTTCCAGAATAGTAACGCACGCCTTCAACCAAGATCTAGGCCGATCGCTATCGCGATTTAAGTGCGACGGGGTATCCTGGCGAAATTACTTGGCAGCCATGGATTAGATCAAGAAAGTAGCTTTAGCAAGAGTTCAGATCTGCAAAGTGACGAGTTGTTCAAACCCTACAACCCAACCCTCGCCCTACAACAATCCCCAACAACCCAAAGTAATAAACTAGCAACACCAAAGGTGTTGTAGTGAATAGAAAAGATTTGATGGTGCTTGTTGGGTGCGAGATCAATTCCAACCCGCAACCAGTCTAACCACCACATTTTGCCCAAACCCTTAGCCCACAACCAGCTAGAGCAAAATACCACAACCACCTACACAATCAACACTCCCCCTTGCTCGTGCTAGAGGTGGCTGAACACCACTGGGAAAAATCCTTCACTTCACTCCCCCTTGCCCAGGGAGGGGCGCCATCCACAGCATGAGATCGTCAAGGCAGAGAAGCACAAGTCCTCCCACATCCTGCTCAGGCACCATGCTGACATGGGGCTGCATCCCCATCAAGGACATACACATACCATGCCACTCAAATGGGAGGGGTTTGGTGAGTATATCTGCTGCTTGACGGTTGGTAGGGCACCACCGGAGGATCACCTCGCCGCACGCCACCATCTCCCTGATGAAATGCCACCGAACCTGCATATGCTTGGTGCGGCCATGCAAGCATGCATTCTGTGCAAGGGCAATGGCAGACTGGTTGTCCACAAACACATGCACTCCACCAGCAAACTCATGCCCAAACTCCGCGAACGGGGATGCTTCAGCCACACACCCTCCTGAATGCACTGACACAGAATGATGTACTCACTCTCAGTGGTGGAAAATGCAACCACCGGCTGCCTCTTGCTCTGCCAAGAGATGGCTGCACCATTAAGGCAATAGACATAGCCGGTGTGACTCTTGCAATCAGTTGAATCTCCAGCATAATCAGCATCACTAAAGCCCACCAACTCAACCTGAGGCTTGCTGTGTGCGGGGTAGAAGATACCTAACTTGACACAACCTTTCAGGTACCTTTGCACTCTCTTAGCAGCCTACAAGTGAAATGCCTTGGGACAAGACACCACCTTGAATAGCTATGGCACTGCATAAGCAATCTGGGGCTGTGTGGTCGTGCTTGCAAACATGAGAGACCCCACAATGCTTTGATAGAGCTAGACCAGCTCATCTCGCAGCAAGGGCTCCTCAGCATGTGCATGCATGTCGAACCCTGTAGGGAGAGGGGTACGGACGGGGTTAGCCTCAGAAAGGCCAAAGGTCTCAAGCATGTTGAGAATGTACCTCTCCTGATGAATCAAGATGCCACTCTCATCACACTCAATCTGCACCCCCAAATAGTACTTCGCCTCCCCCAAGTCCTTCATGCGGAAACGAGAGGACAAGAGACCCTTTACCTCGTCCAGCAAGACCATGCTCAAAGACATGAGCAGAATCTCATCCACATAGAGGTAGAGGGACAACCTGCCCTCACGCCTCACGAAGTGGTACAAGGCGGGGTCACACTCCGACCTCTCAAACCCAAAATCCATTAGCGCCTCATCAAACTTGAGGTACCACTGCCTTGGAGCTTGCTTTAGCCCATAGATTGATTTCTTGCGTCGGCAAACTCTGCCGGACCCATCATCAAAACCAGGTGGCTGCCTCATGTAAAGCTCCTCCTTCAAGACTCCATGAAGATAGGCAGTGGTCACATCCATATGATGGATGTAAAACCCCGAGGATGCTGCCTCATGTGAAGCCCAATTTGTGCCACTTCTTCTCGCTGGCATTACTGACACCGCTACTAGTCCTCTCGCGAAACCCCGACTCCATCGCAGGCTGGCGGTTACTGTTTTTTCTCCCGCGCCTAACATTGCGCCAGGCCTCAACACGGCATCCAGATTGGTCGCAGGTCAAGGCGCGGCTGCGTGCGTTCCAACGAGGAGAATGGGAATAGCTGTACTCTGACCTAGTTGAAGCGGTCAACACACCACCCCTGCCGCGTCACCAGCCAGATGACGCGGGCGTCATCAGCCAAACCGAAGGGTTGACAAAGCGGGGAAGCCTACGTCGGGCTGTCCTGGCTCTCGAGTCAACACCAGACTGCAAACCGAGTCCCCAAATTCTGGACGAGCTCCGCCGCAAGCACCCACCAGCCGACACCGAACCACTCGACTGGCCACCCAGCACCGAACCAGCAGGAATGGAAATTGCCCACGTAGATTTTGTGAAGTTACTGAGCTGATGCGAGAACGGGGTGGGAGCCGGCCCGAGCGGGACGACCTTTGAACACATTCGCGACGCGGCGGTCACAAACGCATTCGGCTGCACCCACCTCCACGCCTTGGTTAACACTATCCTGAAAGGGAAGCTGCCACAGCCTGTAGCTGAATTGCTCACGCCATCACGTCTGATAGCCCTGGCCAAGCTAGAAGGTAGTGCCCCCCTGATAGTGATAGGCAAATGCCTGACATGTCTGGCAGCAAAGGCCACCTTCCATGGTGAAGGTGAATATGTATTCTTGTCTCGCAAGTTGAGAGCATGAGAGAAGGTTGGCTGCCAATTCAGGAACATGAAGCACACCCTTCACATTCAGCACCTCCCCCTCCTTCCCCTTAATGGTGATGGTGCCGATGCCGATTGCTTGCAGCGTATCTCTGCTCCCCACAATCACATTTCTGGAGTTAGATGGGAAGGAGTGATAGGTGGTGAAGACATCGCGCTGAGGTACCATTCCACAGGTTGCTCCAGAGTCTAGAATGAGCTGATTGGGGTCAGCCAACGTATGACCAGCAAGCGCCGTCTCCTTCTCTAAGGATAAGAAGGAGAAGCCATCATTCAATAAGTCCTCCTTTCCCTTCTTTGTAGAATTCCACTACTGCAGCAGCTTGATAGAGCTCAACAGCACGATTCCAACACACCAAAGATTGCAGGAAACGGTCCACTATATCCAAAGTTACACACAAACATAGCAGTGATAATGACTTGGTTGATTTCTGGTTTGTGCTCTCTGGTTATATACTAGGACGCAATACAAAATAAAAGCACACAAGAAAGTGTCGACCCGGGTGGCACGTTGAATTTCGTCAATGCGAAATTCGGAGCCTTGAATTTTGCCGAGCAAATTCCATTGACTGGAATTCCGTAGACGAGAATTTCCGCGACAAGAATTCCGTCGACCACCGACTGTAACTCCCGTGCGAATTCCGTTCACTTCGACACTTCGCTGCTGAGTTTCAAACCGAACACGACCCGAGCTTGATTTTGCCAAACTGTCCCCAATCTGTCCCCAAACTGTCCCCAAACTGTCCTGACAGGTCACTTTCGGGACACTTGAATCGAAAGGTCTCCAGTTTGAAATTCGCGTGCACCATAACTTGCGCCTTAGCAGAAACTGTCCTGAATCTGTCCTGAGACACTTTCAGGACAGATTTGAAGGTCACGAGTTCGAATCCCAGCGCAGACATTTTGTTGCTCATGGCAGCATTTCCTTCTAACGCGCCCCCTTGCTGTCAGGAGCACGCTGGACCAGCCCGGCTGCTGCACAGCATCGGTTGAAGACTGCCTTGTCGAGCCGCTTTGTGAAGAAGTTTGCGGGCTGCGCCATCGTAGGGATGTGCTGCACCTCCAACTTCTTTATGCACACCATGTCCTGTAGCCACATGTGGCGACGGTCCACATGCTTCATGTGCCCCTGCAGCCCGCCCGCCTGGCTGAGCTGCACCGCTGCCATGTTGTCGACGTACATGGTGGTGGGGACACCCTTCTTGAGCAGTTGAAACTCCCACAGCAGGAACCTTTCCCGCTTCCACCGCAGCCACAAGCTCGCTCTCGGTGGAGGAAAGTTTGGTTGCACCCTGTAGCTTCTTGGCCTGCCATGAAACGGCAGCTCCACCAAGCTTGAAGAGGTAGCCTCCCGTGGACGACCGGTTCTCCTTGTCGCCTACATCATCCGCATCCGCATACCCTACGAGAGTCGAACTCTCTGGTCCTCCCTTCAACAGCAGCCCCTTGTCCGGTGAGGCAGCCTAGTAGGAGAGTGTGCGGATGAGCTTACATATGCCAATGCGCATCCGTCCTGAGGTGTGTACCTGCTGCAAGGCGGTTGGTCATGGTGTGATCGGCAAACAGCTCAGCATCCTCCATGACAAAGCTGGTAGAGGAGAGAGGGGTGATCGGCTGCTTCTTCAGTGGCGCCCCCTTGAAGAACCGCTGCTGCACCTTCGCCACATGCATTCTGGTGCAGGAGGAGCGTCTTGTTGGGGTGGTCGCACACAATCTGCAGACCAAGATAGCCTTCCGTGGATGACATGTAGTCCACCACGAGGAGACCTTTGTCCACCACCTTGCCTTCAGGTCCGGTCAAGGTTACCTCGAGGTTGATGATGATGCTCCTCAATCCCCCTTCCTCCTCATCAGCCTCATCCAAGTACTCCACATCATAGTAGATGTCCGTGCCATAAGCACCTCCAGCAAGGAATGCAATGCCATACATGTTGTTGCCATCAACCGCATCCAAGGCTGTCATGGTGGATGTGGGAAGCCGAACAGGTGGCATACCCTTGTTGGACCTGCTAGAATGACATGGGGGTGGGGGAGTGGGCTGGAGGGGCGGAACCGTGGGTATGGGGTCCTTCCCATGGGTTGCCGCCGATTTCAGGTCCGTTGCCTCTCCTTCCTTGTCTTCATCAGCCACACGACGTCCATCCGCAGAGGGACCAGCCTGTGGTCCCACAGATGCCAAGCCAGCAGCTAAGGATGGACAGAGAGCTGGCGGAGCCATGGTTGCGTTGCTGCCTACATGGTCAACCGAACGATCAAACGGTTGTTTGCCCCCTTGCACGGACGGCACTGAGATTATGATGACGATACGTGACGGCGGCTGGTTCTGCTCAGGGCCATGGACCATCCCAAGAACCTCCCCCTCTCGCTCGTCAGGCAGCGGAAGCGTTTGACGAGTGAGTTTGGCTTCTTGGGAGGAGGCGCTCGACGTGTCCTCCCCTCCTTTCTCTAGGTCCATGCCTAGCATGCCACAGTTTGTGGCTGTCCACTGCGCCACACCAGCATGGTCATTCTCAAGGTGAGTGTGCCGCAGGTTGAGCATCGCCTCGGTCCCCACTACATATGTTGTGAGGTTGGCCGCTTTGTCATTCTCTTCCGGCGCGCTTAACACCACCTCAGAAAATGTTTTAGGCATACCATTGCATGCCACCTCAGCCGCCATGCCATTGCATGCCGCCGTATTGTTGCATATTGCTACAGCCACCGTGCTGTTGCATGCCGCCGCAGCCACCCTGCCGTTGCATGCCGCCGCAGCCGCCCTGCCATTGCATGTTGCTGCAGTCGCCGTGCCGTTGCATGCCGCTGCAGCCCCTGTGCTGTTGCTCGCCACTCCACCCACCATGTTGGTGCATGCCGCTGCAGCCGCCGTGCCGTTGCATGCCGCTGCAGCCGTTGCACCGTTCCTTGCTGGCCCCGGTTTCAGGTCAAGGCAGTGAAGGCGATGGCGGTATCGTGCCGTTGCAACCACTTGACCTTCTGATGCGATGATGCGAGTGACACCTTCCTCAGTTTGCAGCTTTGCTCCCTTGTCCAAGAGCTGCCCAGAGGAGACCAAGTTGGCCGTCATTCCTGGCACAAAGAGGACATCATGTAGGGTCACACGCAAGCCGTTAATGCCCTCCAGCAAAACCTCACCAACACCGGCAACTTCGTGCATAGAACCATCAAACCCTTTGACTGATTTCGTTGCAGATGGGTCGCGGATCACCGTGAACCAATCCTTGCGGCCGGTCATGTGTTGGGAGCGTCCTGAGTCAAGGAACCACAAGTCCTTGTCGTCGGCCAGCAACTTTGCAGCCGAACATGCGACGGTGAGCGCCACACCCTTCCCGTCTCCTTCAGCTACATTCGCGGCTGCCGCATGCGTTGTATCTTTCTTCTTGTTGGGGCACTTGGCAGCCATGTACCCCTCCTCATTGCAGTTGTAGCAGCGCCCCTTGAAGGGGGCTTGCATCTTCTCCCGCTTGCCATCCTTCTTCTTGTCCGTCTGCTCCCTTCCAGGACGGGGAACAAGGGCACAGGCAGCCTCCAGCTGTGCCTCTCCAAGATAATCAACCAGCGGCGGGCGGTCGAGCTCCTGAGGGACACGGTGGCGGACAGGCCTTGCACCAACAGAGGTCACGCGCTGAGACTGATAAGCCTGAGAGGGACTGGCGCGGGCGACTGGCTACATGCGGTACCGACGAGAGCTGACCTCTCTATTTCCCCTGGTCAGTTCTCGTTGGCCTTGGGCCTACGCCTGGGCATGGAGTTGCCAGTAGCTGACGTGTGCCCGTGCAAACGTGACAACGCGGAGATCGGGGACAAGAGTTTGCCGAACCACCTGCTGCGCTGCCAGAACGGGGGTGATGCCGTCAGGACCCACAACGCCCTAGTCTATGCGGCGCTGCGGATTGCTAATGAGGCGGGCTACAAAACGTTTCATGAGACCTCAGCGTTCTCACCACCAGTCCTCAGGAAACGGGCAGACTTAGCAATACGGGACCAGGAGTCGGGGGCGACATGGGTAACGGATGTCACCGTGACAGGCCCAGTTTTACAGAACAGAGACAGCAGGGCCCGCAGGCCGCCTGGGTGGGCCGCGGAGGAAGCCTCACAGCGGAAGCATCGGCTATACGAAGGGCGCCCCACCTATGCCGGATTCTTTGGACTGGCTGTCGAGACCTACGGGGCCATGGCGGCAGACACAGTCCAGTTCCTTCGCATGCTGGCTACCCACGCGGCGAAGACGAAGTTCAGACAGGGGCGCCTCACAACAACGGCAGCTCGGCTCACTGCACACTACCGCCAGAGGTGGTCGGTGATGCTGCAGCGCAGCCAAGCCATCTCACTCCTCTCTAAGTCCAACCGAGCAGCCGAAGCGGCATTCCCGCAGGCTGCAGGAGACCCCTGGGCCCCACGGCTAGGGGACCTCTGGCAGATGGCGGAGGATGAGTATGAGGAGCGGGAGGCTCCTGCCAGGGCGGCTTAGAGGGGCAGGAGGGAAAAGTCGGCGACTGCAGGAAAGTGAGAGGAAGCTCCGGGGGGGCAGGGGGACTTGGGTGGGGTCGGGGGAGCCACAGGACAGGAGGAGAGGGAGGTACTCGGGGGGTTTGGCTCTGCTGCTAGCCGGCCCGCTAAGATGTTAGGGGACAGGGCCGTACACAAACGGCATGCCCGCTTGGCTTGCACTGCTTGGCTTGCCTTGCTTGCCCATATGCTTGCCTGTTCGCTTGCATGCTCTGTTTGCTAGCTCTTAGGTTTCCTGGCTACCTACAGGCCCAGACAAACTAGCTACAGCCATCTCCTGCCATGTCTGTACCTCGTGACCACTATCAATACATGACTACTTGAGAGAGAGAGAGAGAGAGAGAGAGAGAGAGAGAGAGAGAGAGAGAGAGAGAGAGAGAGAGAGAGAGAGAGAGAGAGAGAGAGACGGCTCTAGCGACGGCTCGTCAGCACCAGGAATCACCATCTCAAGCGCAGGGAAGTCGAGGGACGGAACGGCAAACGGCAAGCGGGGTTGGCGGAGGCCCGGAGAATGGTTACCAGGCAGCGGCTAGAGTGGCTTTAACCAATTTGACTACAGCGAATGATGAAGACGAGCGGCAGGATCCCTCTTATATAGAAGAGACAGCACCAGCTAGCGAGGGCGAAGAGACAGAGGAAGAGGAAGGCAGGGCGAGAAGGAACACTGGCGGATTGACTGTAGTGGGGGAGCAAGCACGCTTGGACACGCCCCAGGAGACACGCCCACCGCTCGATGCAGAACGGACGGAGGGGATTCCAACCTCCGCTCCCAGGGCACGAGGGAATCGCCCAAGAGGAAATCGGCCAGCAGACATTGGGACTGCAACACGCCCAGCCGCTTCGGTCCCCCGCTATTTTTCGCCAGACGACCTCGCGAAGCGGGCAGACCTGTTCGCTGCAATCAGTACTTGGGATATCACGGCCTTGTGCGACAGTCGCCAGCCTTCACTGTCGCGGCGCTTACCGCCGAATTTGTGTCAGCTGTTCTCACTGGCGATGCTGACGCCGTTACTACACCTCTCACGAAACCCCGAGTCAGAGGCAGGATGGCGCCTGCTGCTATTTCTCCCGCGCCTAACCCTTCGCCAGACCTCGCCTCGCCGTCCGGATTGGACCAAAATCAAAGCTCGTCTCCGAGCCTTCCAGCGTGGCGAATGGGAGCAATTGTACCAGGACGCGGTCGACGCGGTCAACATGCCACCTCTGCCCCGCCACCGTCCCGACGCGACAGGTGTGATCAGCCGGGCTGAGTGTCTAGCGAAACGTGGCAGCCTTCGAAGGGCCGTACTCGCCCTTGAGTCAACCCCTGTCTGCACTCCCAGCCCCGAAATTTTGGAGGAGCTGCGTCAGAAACACCCTCCAGCAGCGAGCGAAGGGGTGACCTGGCCAACCACGAGTGAGTCAACACTTTCAATCGCCCACGCGGAATTCGCCAAGATGTTGGGCAGATGCGAAAATGGAGTTGGAGCGGGGCCTTCTGGGATGACATTCGAGCATTTGCGCGACGCGTCAATCACAAACGCGTCGGTCCGAACCCATCTGCACGCCTTGGTTAACACCATCCTGGGTGGAAATCTGCCAGGCCCGGTGGCGACCCTCTTAACCGCATCGCGGCTTATTGCTCTGGCCAAGCCGGGAGGAGGCGCTCGGCCAATCGCGATCGGCGAGTGTTTGACCAGGCTGGCAGCCAAGGCTGCCCTGATGGTGATGGGCGAAGCTGCCCGCGATTTCTTCCTCCCCCTTCAGTATGGGGTGGCAGTGCCAGGTGGCGCCGAAACCGTAATCCACGCGGCCAGAGCTTTCCTGGATTCCCACCCTAACAGCCTGGTATTGCAAGCGGACATCAAAAACGCTTTCAACAGTATTTCGCGACAGGCCATCGCCACTGCGTTACACGCCCCCGAACTCTCGCCACTGCTGCCGCTCGTCAAACTAACCTACGGTAACCCGTCGCAGCTGTTCCTGGATTCCAACTACAACTCCGAACCACTGCACAGCGAACGCGGGGTTCGCCAGGGGGACCCACTTGGGCCGCTACTGTTTGCAGCGGGGATTCATGCTACACTACGCGACACTGCAGATGCTTACGCTGGGGTACTTTGCTTGGCGTATGCGGACGACGTGACTTTCATAGGGGACTTTGAAGACACTGTAGCAGCATTTACACATTTCACGAGCAGGCGTCGTTACCCCCATCACTAGGAGGCCTCGGTATCACTAATCCCCTCGTCGAAGGGGTTTACGGCTTCTCGGCGAGTTTTACCCAGGCAGCGTTATTCCTCAACGAACTCACGCTGGAAGAGGGGACCGCGCTCTCGTTGGCAAGGAATCATATGCTCCTCCCGCGCGACGACAGCACTCCACTACACACATGGCTGAGGGGGTGTGAAGCCGCACTGCCAACAGACGCGCTGGAGGTTTTAGAGAAGGAGCGGCTGGAGCGTTCTGACATTCGGCTCCAGCACGTGCTCGGACTGAAGGTGCACGGGAGCCGGTATGCCGTACAGGTGCAGGCGACGAGGCGAATGGAGTTGAACCCGCTAGCCGGACACACGCAGCGGATGTACTCCTTGACTGGATATGGCACCGGCGACTGGATTACGGACATCCCAGTGGCTCCCACAAGGCGGATTGGGCCGGTGCATTTCGCCAATGCAATACGCTTCCGCCTCGCGCTGCCGTTTTCCACCCCTAAAAACTGCGACTGCTCAGAGCACACGGCCATCACTGACCCCCGGCTCCCAAACCACCTTCTCCGGTGCGGCACGGGCAAGCACCGCACTAACACCCACAATGAGCTGCGGGACGCATGCGTAAGCATGGCGCAGGATGCGGGCTTTATAGTACACAGGGAGTCAACGGCCTACTACCCCATCGAGGAACAAACGGCTGATTTCACAATGTTGGACAGAAGCAGTGGAGCGGTCTACATCTGTGACGTCACGGTCACTGACCCAATAAGCACCAGGGATCCGGAGGCTCAGAAAGGCAGAGGGTGGGCGGCACGTGAGCAGGCCGACAAGAAGATCAAGCACTATGCCAACCGCCCGGAGAACGTTGGCTTCTTCCCCCTCGCAGTGGACACTTACGGCTGCCCGTGTGCTGAGGTTCCCGTATTCCTTAAGCTCCTGGCAGACTCGGCGGCTCGGCGGCACTTCAACGCCGACTCCAAATCTTTCTATGCCGCCAAGTTCTTGCATCAGTTCCGGCAGCGTTGGTCCGTGGCCCTTCAACGGGCCCAATCCGTGGGGCTTCTGATGAAATTGGGTGAGGCTGCAGCAGCAGAGAATCCTCCTGTGGGGGGCATTGGGCATGAACTGCACCTGGGGGACTGTTTTGCGGTGGTGGAACCACTCCTGGAGATTTAGAGTGGGGTAGCAGGGTGGCAGCAGAGGTAGCCTAGGTGATGTTGCATCGTGTTTCATGTTGCTTGCTTTCTACCTTGCATGTGTGTACCTGCCGGCTCTATCAATACAAGGACCATTAGAGAGAGAGAGAGAGAGAGAGAGAGAGAGAGAGAGAGAGAGAGAGAGAGAGAGAGAGAGAGAGAGGCACCTAGTGACTTAGCCTCTCAAGCCTCCCCTAGCCTCCAAAGCCTCCCAAGTCCTAGTATAAAGGCCTCAACAGGCCTTGTTGCCTCTTCATTATTCGGTTTTTGGTTGGGTTTCTCTCCTAACCGAGCGGCTCGCAGAAGAGGGGAGAGAGAGAGAGAGAGGCACCTAGTGACTTAGCCTCTCAAGCCTCCCCTAGCCTCCAAAGCCTCCCAAGTCCTAGTATAAAGGCCTCAGCAGGCCTTGTTGCCTCTTCATTATTCAGTTTTTGGTTGGGTTTCTCTCCTAACCGAGCGGCTCGTGGGAGAGGAGAGAGAGAGAGAGAGGCACCTAGTGACTTAGCCTCTCAAGCCTCCCCTAGCCTCCAAAGCCTCCCAAGTCCTAGTATAAAGGC